TTGCCTTGCACAAGCAAAGTCAACTGCGCAAGCGCTTTGGGCACCTCCCACGCACAATTTATCACTACATGGCTAAGGTTCGGAATGCCGGCTTGTGCTTTCTTTGTGTTTGTGCCGGCCACGCGGAGCCTCCGATCTACTAGGGCCTCTGAATGATGTCATGCTCAGATCACAGGAATGAGACAGTTGCCTATGCATCTTATTTGAAGACCGATTGATTCAAGAAGTGATCGAGGTACTGGACAACCCAGTCCAGGCATGAATAGAACAGCGAAGCAGAACGATGGGAAGTGCAGCGCCTCTAGGCAGTCAGACCCAACGCCTTGTGCACCAAATATCGATAGGCGGAGGCCAAGCTGGCATGCGGATGTGAGGACACCGAACCTAGATGAAGTCGAAACATTGCGAGCAGATCCAGACAGTGACAGAATCCCCGGTACGGGAAGTGCCTTGTCATTTGTCCTTGCCGAAGCCGCTCTTGGAAGCACGGGTACAGTTAAATGAGCCTAGACCACTCAGCAGCAGACTGCGCGTGCAACAAACGCCGGGAAAGCGTCGTCCACAGCTGCGAAGTCCTCACCGGCAGCCAGGCCAAAGCCTGAGCAGGAGCTCGCCAGGATGGCAGTGGTCCTCTGTTTGGACCTGACACGAGAGGCAAAGCGCAGAACACGACTGATGGGTCTAGTACAACGGCTGATCAATCACACGCAAGATCCGGAGGCAGCTGCAGACAAGACATGCAAGCAGCTCCATGTGGCGACAGACACGCGTTTGGATGAATAGCTAAGGGCTGCAAAAGCAGCAGCATCTCGGTCGAGAGCATGCTTTCTTTCACAAAAGCTTCTTACTGGGTCTAAGTTTAAGGAGAGGCGTCGTAATCAATGGCAACCAGGCTTGTGCCGTTTCTTTAGTTGACGATCCTGTGCATGTGATATCCCGGCCGCCATTGGAGGTGGTAGCAACTGCTCCCTCAGTGAGGTGATACTACGGAGTGTATAGGAGGTACCCTTTGCACCTTTGGCCCTGAATTGTCTGACTCCCTAAGCTCACACTGCTATAAGGCTACTCACCTCCAGCAGGTGGTTCGCCTTTCGGTTGTTTTGAAGTTTTTTCTTACCCTTGAAGGCATCTCGACAATTTCACGGCAAAGATACTTTGGGATGATGTCTAAAGTACCAGAGCCCTCGTACTTCATGATGTAGACCACTCCAAGAACCTCATTTGGAACGACCGCCGCTCGGATGTGAACCGCACTTCATGCGTTGCTGTCAAAAACGCTGGTCTCAGAGACGATCAAGACCCTGCGTCCTGCAGTCGGTATCATCCCTGCCACACCGTAGGTGTGGGACTTCCAATGGCATGCACGGGTCGTTGTCGGTCGAGCTTGACATCACATCGGTGCTAAAGGGGTATGCTTGCGCCAGAGCATTTTTCCGGCTGTGCTACCGACCCACAGTCGCTTCGAGAGCTGCAGACCCACAGTCGCCTCGAGTGCTGCAGCCTTGCATAGAGGCGACCGACGACTGCGCAGCAAGATCAACACTTGATTCTGAGCATGTCTGCATGTATGATCTGTGTTGCATGCTGGTGCTGTTTTTTGTGAGAAGACAAATCAACGCAGCTTCCTTGCGTTTCTTTCCCTCTCTCTCTCTCTCTCTCCCACTCGCTCCTGTTCAGAGGTACGGCATGCTGCAGAACCGATCGGCATGCAATCAAGCCTGGACTGCATCCTCAAAAGCGAAGGGCATTGGCAGCAATTCTACGCATTAAGCATTGCGATAACAGCATTGCGTCCGACGTGCAGGAACGTCGACGTCGAAGATATCTTCGGTGGCGATGAACAAGATGGTCCGGATCTTGATTTTGGTTTAGGACTAGCATGTCATGACGAGATGTCGAACGACATATTGGTTCGTGTTGAAGGCACACCCACGCCGTACGACTCACGGACGCCCGCTGCCGCTCCCTTGAATCCGAAGTTCATGCAAAGACAGGACCGACGTATTCCACTGCTGAAAGGTGGTTTCGCCGCATTCCTGGTCTGGATCCCCAACGGCACCACCGGGATTAGCACCGCCACCTGCTGGAGCGCACGATGCCTACGGCGTGCAGTATCACCCATAGTTGTGAAGCCCTTCTTCTTTAGCAGTCACAGCGCAGAGCTGGGCGGCTTCCCGCAACCGCGGAGCTGACGGAAGCAGACAGAACCGGAACACAGGGGCAGCAGATGGCAGCAGGCAGCAGGTAGAGGATGGCAGATGGGAGCCCGCACATTCGTGTGGCAACGAGGGTCCATAGCAGGGAATGAAGTACGACCACATAGACATTATGACATTCATCAGGGCTAAGAGACAGTTGACTGCAGTCGTCCTGTTTCTCTTGTCTGTAACCTGGGCATGGGACTCTGGGATGAGTTGTTCGTTGCTCGTGCTATCATGAAGCGCTTGTTTCAAGGCAGCATTTGCATGACGGTGGTAGCAACAGCCGGCGAAGCCAAAGCATGCCGGGAGCCCAGCCGGAGCGGCTGAGCCAAGTCCGATTCCTTGCTATGGACAGTCACGAGTGTCGCGAGGCTCTCCCCACCATCAAGTGCTTCAGGCAGGCATGCATTGAGGCTCCGTCGGCGGGGTCGGGCAGTGCTCAACTCAAGACTCCTTCTTGGTTTGTAGTGTAGCCACGCCTGCCTAGGCCGGGCTTGCAATCCGGGTGTCCGTCCACGGCTACGACGTCAGGCCACCACGAGACCAAAGCGCACGATAATTCTGTCAAAGGCTGCAGTTGACATGAACATCAGGTAGCGGATCTCCTGAGTTGACGGTGACGTTCTCACTTGACGATGTGTGCGACAGGCCTTTGCAGCCAGCGGCTTGCATCACACTTTGACCCCGAGGCTCCACCAACCAAGCCGGAGTCACCGGCAGCGGTGTCAAACATGGCACCAAGCAATGTCATCGTGAGAAGCTCAGAGTCCGCGAGATCCGCGCCGTCAAGTTGTGCACTTGACGGCCAGTGTAGACAGATGGGTTTCTTGCGTACACAGCACAATCTGATTCGCCCTGCAGGGAATCAAAGAAATAACCATGAAGAGTGCGGACCAGAATCTGCTCCTCGACCATGAAAGAGCACGTTTCGTCAACCGAAAGAGGCACACAGACGCTAGTGTATGACAGGTTGGACAAGTTCATGGCAAAATTTGGCTCTCCTTGAGGTGACATCAAGGACTAAACCTGTCGGGAGCTATCTGAATTGATAGCTGAGAGAGCTCTTCCACTAATATCTTCATTCTGCTGTGCCTTTGCAGGACTTTCCAGCACAAACGGCTTTCCATGCAGTTCTGGCCCGCCATGGGCCAGAGCCTGTCCTTGAGACATATGGCTCCAGCGTTCTTGCCTTCCGTTCAGTAAGCGAATCTCGAAAAAATCTAGGAGCTAGGCCCCAAGCTGGAGTGTTAAAGTGGAAATTGCTCCACAGGCAGAGTTGCCAGTTTCGTCTCACTCGCGCAAGCAGCAGCTTGTTCGGATACCCCCCTCAGTCGATGCTTGTTTTGCTGCTTGCAGCAATGCAAATGAATAAGGTTGCAGACTTTGAACATATGACAGCTTTTGCAGCCAGGATAAATTGTCATTCGTGGCTTCTGAGGCAACCTGGATTTTCAGATCCGATTGCCAGCTGGCAACCAGCTTGCAAAGCGCACCTGAACCGGGTAACGTGCACAGTACCGTGAGGTGGTGGCGACTCAAGCGAACCTCGCCGGAGGCAGTTCGTTTGGGATCTGCTCCACGGTGCCACGGTGCGTGCTGCACTTCCAACGGTGACTTCAAACGGTCTCGAGAACGCTTTTTTTCTTTGAAGCTCTGGTGGCCTGTGCTACAACTCATCGGCCAGCAGTCTGCGGGCTTCTGGTCACTTAGACATTTCAGCTCCTATCCGGGACAGCGTACTTCAGCAAGCATCATTTGCCCAGCAACGCGAAAAAAGAAGCTTTGAGACACCAGTGATTTGGAGTCAGGTGTGTGCATTGACACCACTGGCATGGATGCAGGCTTTGACATGAGTGTCTGAACATGTCTGAACTCTGCTGCTGCATGCAACGGTTTCCTGCGTTGGCGTAGATTCTGTCGCGGCAAGCATCCTAACCTGATTGTGTCGAAGGTTGGCCATAGCCAAACGAATTCGATAATTTCGGTATCTGGGCCGTGCGCATGCTGCCATGTGCTGGCAGGCATGCCCGCCACCGGTCTCCGCCAACACGTGCCAGGTCACGGCAACGCCCCCCGCGAGCACCACACCGGCGATCGAATCGCTAGCATTCGACACCAACGGACATCAACATATCAACAAATCGGTCCATGGCCACACTGTGGTCATTGGCCAGCCTCAAAATGGCACGCCGCACCCTAGATGTTGCAGCAGGGTTGACTACACTTATGGAGACGTCCCAAAAACGGAAAGCAGCTTCACTTGCCTGTCGTAGTGAAAGCTGCTAGTAGTGGGTTGCAACGGTCAATCAGTCGAGCAGGCTGAGACAAGCGAAGTCAAGTGATGGACTTTCAGTTCAGGTATCCTGTGAATTGTGAGTGTGGAGTCTTGCGTTTAAAGACCGGGCGAATCGTGGAGCCGACTCTGGTCCCAAAAGCGAGCGAGGTGTGACTGTCGGGTTGAACTGAAACGAGAAGGCTGGGAGGCGACTATGAAAAGAGGTAAAGACAGCCTGGCTGCCTACAGCGGAAAGCAGCACTGGGGAGAGGCTTCAATTGAAAAACTGCAACACAAGCGCCAGAAGGGGATGCTGAGTCACCTGTATGATGAGATGAGACCGCTTCGCCGGTGCCGGGCTCAGAGGGCCCCGAGACTCTACAAGGGGCCCCATGTGGCATCATGGGTCAGAGAGCCGCATGTCAGAAAAACCCTCACTCAGACAAAAAAGCTAAGCATGCCGAGGCTATAGCGCTGTGAAGGGATTGAAGGGTTGAGGCTGCTTTTCGCGGCGGCGCAGCGTGATGCTGGTTGCCAACCAGCCCGTCACATCGCCGGCGTGCAGCGTGTTCCGCGGAGCTCTCGGCAATCGACACCTGCAACATGACTTCTGCAACCCAGACAGGTGTGAAAGATCGTTGGCAGCGTGTAAGCTAGGTGTTCAAGCCTGCTCGGCGACGAGCAGTGGCTCTGCCATCCGGCAGCGAGGTCTGCAGATTTCGAGGAAGCGCCGGAGCGCAGCCGGGGTGGGGGGGGGGGGGGGGGGAAACTTCAGACACAAATCGGAGCTTTGCAGTTGCAGGAGTGCTGCCGGCGTGGCAGCCTTCGGTGCTTTACAGGCTGCAACAATTTAGTATTTCGGTCAATGCGTACAGTTGCTAGCAGAGCTCCAGGTAAAACTCGTGGACAGTGGTTGCAGGTTGTCAGCTTCCGACGTCGACAGGCAAGTGTGGTCCAGCGGCCAGCCCAAGAAGGCCCTCGGCTTGGAGATTTACTTCTGGACCCAATCCCAGCCACCTTCTGCAGGCAAAAGAAGCCAGAGTTCTTCTGCTACTTGTGCCACTGCTTGCGTGGTGGTGTGTGGCATTCCTGGTTCCGGCAAGAGCACGCGCGCCCTCTGAATTGCGACACGCCACCTGTGAATTCGCCTCGCATGTGCGATGAGGCTTTGCCGCTTGCTGTGTGCTGCGTTTGAAAACAGCATGTGGCTAAATCAGGCACGACCGTTAGTGCATCGAGATGTGAGACCATGAGTCTGACTCTCACGTTCGCAGGACCATTTTCCCTCTGGACCGAGAGCCAAAGTGCAGTTCTTGAGGCTGCCGTCGTTCCCCCACCGTGCAGTATATGTCCATTCTACCAGCCGACATTGCGCCAGGGGAGTGCGGAACAGCTTAGATGCTGCAATGCGTTCCCGCCGTATCCGCCTCAACATCCACCTTCACTCAACGGTGTCTGTCCACAGAAGCTTCCTGTATGGTGGAGAGTGAATGCATTTTACGGCAAGTTTTTGTGTATGAGGTTCAGCGTTGGTCTGCGTAGACAAGGTGAATGTTCAGAAGGCCCAGAGCAAACCATGTAGCTTCAGATTACTTCGAGCCGGCACGGCTTCCAACTGGTCAGAGAGAGCAGGCAGCTATGTCGCACTTGCCAGATGCACTGGTATGACACGAAAGGTTGAATGTGTTGCACACCAGTATATGCTTGAAGGGAGCACGCGCACACACGCACACACAGACACACAGACACACAGACACACAGACACACAGACACACAGAGACACACAGAGACACACACAGACACACACACACACACACACACACACACACACACAGACACACACAGACACACACGACACACACAGACACACACAGACACACACAGACACACACAGACACACACAGACACACACAGACACACACAGACACACACAGACACACACAGACACACACACACACAGACACACACAGACACACACAGACACACACAGACACACACAGACACACACAGACACACAGACACACAGACACACACACAGACACACACAGACACACACACACACACACACACACACACACTTGCATGGATCTCTTGATCCAGATGGCGGTCGGACACTCTAGGTGTTACTGCTGCTGCATTTTATCTTTGGGACTCAAGGCTCACTTGCATGGGCATGCCAGCTACATCCTCAGATGTCCAGGCACTACCATGGCAGGTGCGTTTCACGACTGCATTGCTTGGGTCTTCGTTGGCGGATGCCACGCAATGAGTCCATCCGTCCCCTGCTGTAACAATAGTACATTCTATAGTGACTAGCCCTTATAGTTTCAGGGATGACACACACGCACACACACGCTCGCCCCCCCCCCCCACACACACACACACACACACCGACGCACACACGCACACACGCACCCATGTGCAAGCAAACCAAAAACACACACACACACACACACACAGACACACACGCACAGTTGATTTGACCCTCGGTTGACCGAAGCCAGACATGGCCTGCACGTATTCCTGCAATCGTAGCCTACGGTCTGTTCTGTTCTGTGGGGGGGTTTGGCTTGGACCCTTGCCACTTTACTTGCAGAAAGCACTCGCAGGTACGCTGGGATGATCCGTCCCAGTATCAGCCGTGGCATAGCCCTCTTCGTTGGGCAACCAGCTATGCTCACGGGGTTGCCCCCCTGCTTTGTTCCCTGGTCTCAGGGTGGCACACACACACACACGCACACACCCACCCACCCACCCACCACCCACCCACCCACGCACCCAACCCACCCAACCCACCCAACCCACCCAACCCACCCAACCCACCCAACCCACCCAACCCACCCAACCCACCCAACCCACCCAACCCACCCAACCCGCCCAACCCAACCCACCCAGCCCACCCAACACACCCAACCCACCCAACCCACCCAACCCACCCAACCCACCCAACCCACCCAACCCACCCACCCAACCCACCCAACCCACCCACCCGACCCAACCCACCCCCACCCCCACCCAACCCACCCAACCCACCCACCCAACCCACCCAACCCCACCCACCCACCCCCAACCCACCCACCCACCCAACCCACCCACCACCCACCCACCCACCCACCCACCCCACCCACCCACCCACCCACACAAACACACGATGTGACAAGAACTTCCTAATGACCAATGGTCGACGGAAGTGGTGGTGTTCGGAAACAGGGGGGCTGGGCAGCTTTTGTATTCTTCTGTAATCTTATGTTTCTTGGGGAAGCACTGCTTCATCTGTCACGGGCCACATGACCCTGCCAAATCATGTAATTAACTCCTTTAATCTTCAAGAAAAGTTTCAATCAAGGGCGTGGCCCCTCGCCACTTCACTTGCAGAAAGCACTCGCGGGTACGTTGCGATGCTGAGTCCCAGTATCAGCCGTGGCATAGCCTTCTTCGTTGGGCAACCAGCTATGCTCACGGGGTTGCCCCCCTGCTTTCTTTGAAATTGTAAATGAATGTCCCTGGTCTCAGGGTGGCACACGCACACACACACACGCACACACACACACACACACACACCCACACAAACACACGATGTGACAAGAACTTCCTAATGACCAATGGTCGACGGAAGTGGTGGTGTTCGGAAACAGGGGGGCTGGGCAGCTTTTGTAGTCTTCTGTAATCTTATGTTTCTTGGGGAAGCACTGCTTCATCTGTCACGGGCCACATGACCCTGCCTAATCATGTAACTACTTTAATCTTCAAGAAAAGTCTCAAACAAGGGGGGCCCCGAGGGGCCTGAAAAAGCCAGAGTCAATGCTCAGCTTAGCCTCGAGGTCTCAGAGCGTCTTAGCCTTGGGCCGGTTCAAGTTTAAAAGGCGGAGGCGGAGGTTTACGTCGCATTGCGAAGCGGACCATTCTCTCAAACACGACGTTCGACGGTGCTTGCGAATGAGATGTCTCAAGCGTTTTGCCTTGCAAACTATGTGCAGGTGCACAGAGAAGGGTTTTGGCAACAAGCAGAAGAAGTTGGCTGGAAGGACTTCTTGAAGTGCGACAGAGCGGAATCGTTCACTAGTAGTAGTAGGTCCATGAGTCACGCTGGATGGCAGCAAGTTCCCCTGAGCGGCTGGCAGCCACGGGGTGAGTCCCCAACAGTCCTCGGCCTCCCCAGGCCGTGCTGGAGGCATCTGGAGTCACCAAGTAAGTGCAACGCATGACGCTTTGCATGTCACTATAGGTGGCCACTCAAGGAGTGCAGCGCCCGCTGGCTCACACCAAAGGCAGGGGACCATGCCAGAGGGACAGGGGCCCCCACCCGCAAGCAAAAGGGGAACAACACTAGCGTTGTAGCAAAAACAACAAGAATCACAGCACTATTAACAAAGCAGCTGCAACCATACCTGCAGCAGCTCCCGTGTCCTGCGATGTCCCGCGTTCAGCGTTCATGTGCTTGATCTCCATCAGCAAAGGGATCCACGCAAATGCAAAGAAGTGTAATCGTGGAACACAACACGACGGGGTGGGTAGTTGGAGACCAAAGCACAGACCCAGCATGAAGAACACAAAGTGTTCACTATTTTCCAAGCAGGGCAACAATCCACAGAGCCACTGGCCTAGCCTGCCCGCACCATCCCACTCCTGTGACTGCCGGTTTTTGAGGGCCCTAGTTTGCTAGCTGCACAGCAGGGAGGGCCATGCAGGAGAGGGGTGGCATCACCATCTTCTGCGAGCTCTGCGAGCTGTCTTCGCCGGGGAATCTCTTGCGCCACTGCCAGTCAGTTCCCCGGAACCCTCGCCGGCTTCGACTGTGGTAGCTGTTGCTGCAGCAACTCGGCACTTCACTCGCTCATGCACGGACGGCAGCAGCGCTTCTCACAGCCATTCAGGCCCTACGCTCCAAGAGCTTTGTGCAAGCGGAGTCAGCATGGGAACACATCTTGATGCGACTTCACTTACTAGTCACCTGCAAAACCTCAGAAGCGAGAGATTGGACCGGCATGGGTGAATGGCAAGAGCATGACCATGAGCATGGATGAGAAGGCGTCGGACTACGTCTGGCCTGCAAGGGCTGGCTTTTCTTTCGATCGGAAGGATGGTGGATCCTGGGCAGAGGCTGCGAGAGCACGCAGTGCTCCAACACAGCAGGCGTGGGTGGTTGTTTGTCGCATAGCCTGTTACACGCTAAGGAAGGTCCTCTGCAAGTTTTGAGGTTGTTAGCTGTACTGGTAACAACAGCTTTTTATGAACCCAACTCCGCCAAGACGAGGCCGTAACCTTGCATCAGCATCTGCAGCAATGCCCACCACGCACAGCCTGACTCTTGAACTGGGTCGGGTCACGCAAGCAGAAGCGAGCCTGCAGTGTACGATGTATCGAGGTCGCCGGAGCAGCAAGAGGGATGAAACACGGAGGCGCATTTGCTGAATTCGTGCCATGACTGGTGACCAGAGAGTGTAACCATTTGCACAATAGTGCATAGCTTCCCCAACATTAGGTCTGTCTGGCCTGCATCCTTCGAGACACGGCTCAGAGCCGGCATTGAGAGCGTGTGCCTCAACGGAGTACGTCCTCCGACCTATTTCCGTTTGATCAATGTGGAGGAGAGAAGCACCTTCTGGGGACAGCCAGGCCCATTCCGCCTGAGCAGCGTGACTATTAGCAGTGTCGGGGTGATGTTCACGGGTTTGAACATAGGCTCCCGTTGTGTCACAGCCGAGCTGGGCTCCAAGCGGCAGAGCGCCGGATTGCGGATCGGTGGGGGATCAAGTGTGTGCTGAGGTCCATGACTTCGTTTTACGTTGCCAACCGTCTGGCCCGATCCTTCATTGAATCTGGACTTACAGAGGCTGTCCCGCAGGCTTCGAAGTCAAGGTCCATGTGTGGAGTGTCAGCTCTGGCCGGCGAGGCAAAACGCCAATCGGATGCTACCTCGGCGCTGAGCGAGTGCCAGGGCTGAGACATTGGCATATTCTGCTCCATGCACCATCTTACTTTTTATTTTGGATTGCCTGTGTTGGCAGAGATGCAAGACTTGTGCACTGTAAGGGATCCGCCGACGACAGGCCGGTCGGAGGTTCGCATGCCGCAGCATGGATTTCAGACTTCTGCCAGGCACCTGGATGTCAGAGGCCTCCCGGTCTCGTTGGCCCTGAAACCTCCACCAATGGCATAGTCATGACCAGGTCATTCGGGTTCTTCCCGGAAGTCAACTCGCCTCCCCGGCCGCTGGCACAGTAGCCCGTCTGGGCTTGCCTCCTTAAACCAATGCCTTGCTGGAAAGGAGACAACTCCGCTGCCGTCTCCGTCGGTCGGCCAGGTCAAGTTGCACAGCCAGCATCGCCAGCATCGCCAGCATCTCACCTACTCACCTACGCAAAGGAGACACCGCCAGAAACAGCTGCCTCGGAGACGTGGCTCGGCAGGAGATTTCAGCTTCTTGACGTCCTGATTCGTGGTGCAAAACTGCTTTGTGCGAGGCAGCAGAGCGACCCAGAGGTGCAGCGGAGTGCAGCTGAACATCAATGTTCCGGCATTCTTGCAAGTTCCGCTTTTCACTGCAGGCGATTATTCGCGACAGTTGGGCAGAAAAGGTGCTGCAGCAACTCTCTAAGGAGGTGGCGTGAACAAAATGCTCGTACATGCGTATGCACATGTCCTACGCCTTTCACGTCCTGATGTTCCTGAATCTTCGAGGCAGGCTTCACGAAGACTTTGCCCCACAGGCTCCAGTCGATTGTTGGGTTTAGTGCCAGATTGATGGAGAAGCTAGCCCCGCACACGCCATGGATTGCTGCAGGGACGGTGTCGACATCAGCCCCAGCGAAATTGCTGCACTATTTGGTTTCGACCTTTTACATGGTTCCGAGGCAGGAGTCACTTGATGAGAGCACAGCTTGCAGGCAGCATTGCTCCTGCAACGAGGCGCAGCCGTTGGTAAAGCAGCAGATGCGAAAAGGCTCGGTTCAACATTCCCCGACATGAGTCTGCCTCGCCCCAGCAACGGGGTAGTTTGCAGAACGACGCCTTGCTGAAGGCATGCCGAGCATTCCGAAGCGCCGGCCACGGACTGGCTACATGCTTGAGAAATCTGCATACAGTGTCTCAAGATGGGCTCAGGCTTGACCTGACTAGAGTGACTCGAGACGAAGATGAAGATGACGAGGACTTTGAGAACAAAGCTGCTACCTTACCGCCGTCGAATGGGGCATCCGGATCCGAGATCGCGTGGGAACAGGAGCAGCACTCAGCACATAAAATGAGGCAAGCAAGCAGCAATCAGCATGGCAAAAGTGGAAACATCACCACCAAAAGCAGCATGAGTGGCATTAAAGTGAGCACGAACATGCAGGATACGGACAAGCCAAAACCATACGAAAGACTGCAAACTTGGTCAACTCATCCAGCAGAAGAAGTGTGCGGGGCAGGGCATTCAGGGGTTGCCCGCTTTTAGTTGCAGGGGTTGTGGTTTTTGGTACTGGGTGATGCCGTATCGTATACGGCACAAACAACAACAGCAACTGCGGCACCAGCAGCAACAACAGCAACCACAATAACCAAAACAAAACATCCGCAACAGCAACAGGCAACAGCCCGAGCTGGAGCAGGAGCAGGACCACCACCAACAAACCACGGCAACAAACAGGCAAACAAAAGAAGCAGAGGCCGCAGCAACTGGAGCCAGCAAGCAATCAGCAACGTCAGCAACAGCAGCCAGCAACGGCTGCAACGACAGCCATGCTACCACTGCTACTGCTGCTGCTGCTACTACTGCTGCTATTCTACTTCTACTGCTACTTGCTGCCGGGAGTTGAGAGCTGTTGAGAGCCGCAGTTTGTGACCAAGTTTTGCTACTCTTGGTAATCTTGGTCCGCGGGGGCGGAGGGGCAAGTCTGTTGGCGATCTTGCCAAGCTCGAAATCTTGGCCATCTTGGTTTTCGAGTATTTTCCTAACCCGAAAGAGGAGACCCGAAAGAGGAGGGGTGCAGTAATCTTGCAATCCTGCACCACTTGCATCACTTGCACCACCTGCCCAATGGCTTTCTCGCTCCCTCCCCACCTGAGGGTTCAGGGTTTTGGATTTTGTGTTTTAGGGTTTAGGGTTAAGCGCGCCCGGCGCGTGCGGTTTTGTAGTTAGTAGTTATAATTAGATATAATTAGTATTATCGGGATTAGGAATTAAGGGTTTGGTGTTTGACGCTTTAGGGTTTAGGCTGTTGTGGTTAATTTATGGTTTAAGGCTCACGGCGTTTAGGGTCTTGGGTTTGAGGTTTTTCTGGGGATAGGGCTCAGGGTGTAGTACGTAATATACAACTGATATTCGTGTGCATTTTAAGGTTTAGTGCTTGCGGGGTTTAGGGTTTGGGGCTTCGTGGTTTAGGGTTTACGGTTTAGGCCGTAGGTATTTTACGGTTTAGGGTTTAGGGCTGCTAGCGTTTAGGCTTTGTGGTTTCGCGGTTGAGGGTTTCAATTTAGGCTGTTGAGGTTTTACGGTTTAGCTTTTAGAGTTTAGCGTTTGGGGTTTTGCGGCTTAGAGTTTAGGCTTTTGGTGTTTTACGGTTTGAGGTTTAGAGCTTTTAGGGTTTAGGGTTTGGGGTTTTGCAGTTTAGAGTTTCGGCTGTTGGAGTGTAACGGTTCAGGGCTTAGGGCTTGTAGGATTTAGCTTTTAGGGTGTAGGGTTTGGGGTTCACGGTTTGGGGTTTGGCGCTTTTAGGGTTTAGCCTTTAGGGTTTAGAGCTTGAGGTTTTGCGGTTTAGAGTTTCGGCTGTTGGGGTTTTACGGTTTAGGGCTTTTAGGATATAGTTTTTAGGGTGTAGGGTTTGGGGTTTTGCGGTTTAGAGTTTAGGCTGTTGGGTTTCACGGTTTAGGGCTTGGCGCTTTTAGGGTTTAGCTTTTAGGGTCTAGAGTTTGGGGTTTTGCGGTTTAGAGTTTCGGCTGTTGGGGTTATACGGTTTAGGGCTTGGGGCTTTTAGGGTTAAGCTTGTAGGGTGTAGGGTTGGGGTTTTGCGGTTTAGAGTTCAAGCTGTTTGGGTTTTACGGAGGGTTTCGGGTTTTGCGGTTTAGAGTCTAGGCTGTTGGGTTTCACGGTTTAGGGTTTGGCGCTTTTAGGGTTTAGCTTTTTAGGGTTTAGAGTTTGAGGTTTTGCGGTTTAGAGTTTCGGCTGTTGGGGTTTTACGGTTTAGGGCTTAGGGCTTTTAGCGTGTAGGGTTTGGGGTTTGGCTGTTGGGTTTCAATTTTTGGGGGTTGGCGCTTTTAGGGTTTAGCTTGAGGGGTTTGGAGTTCGAGGTTTTGCGGTTTAGAGTTTAGGGCTGTCAGGATTTAGCTTTTAGGGTGTAGGGTTTGGCGTTTTGCGGTTTAAAGTTTAGACTGTTTGGGTTTTACGGAGGGCTTGGGGCTTTGCGGTTTAGAGTTTAGGCTGTTGGGTTTCACGGTTTAGGGTTTGGCGCTTTTAGGGTTTAGCTTATAGGGTTTAGAGTTTGAGGTTTTGCGGTTTAGAGTTTCGGCTGTTGGGGTTTTACGGTTTAGGGCTTAGCGCTTTTAGGATATAGCTTTTAGGGTGTAGGGCTTGGGGTTTTGCAGTTTAGAGTTTAGGCTGTTTGGGTTTCGCGGAGGGTTTGGGGCTTTGCGGTTTAGAGTTGAGGCTGTTGGGCTTCACGGTTTAGGGTTTGGCGCTTCTAGGGTTTAGCTTTTAGGGTTTAGAGTTTGAGGTTTTGCGGTTTAGAGTTTCGGCTGTTGGGGTTTTACGGTCAGCGCTCAGGGCTTTTAGGGCAGGCTGTTTGGGTTTGACGGAGGGTTTCGGGTTTTGCGGTTTAGAGTCTAGGCTGTTGAGTTTGACGGTTTAGGACTTGGCGCTTTTAGGGTGTAGCTTTTAGGGTTTAAAGTTTGAGGTTTTGCGGTTTAGAGTTTCGGCTGTTGGGATTTTACGGTTTAGGGCTTAGGGCTTTTAGTATTTAGTTTTTAGGGTGTAGGGTTTTGTTTTTGCGGTTTAGAGTTTAGGCTGTTGGGTTTCACGGTTCAGGGTTTGGCGCTTTTAAGGTTTAGCTTTTAGGGTTTAGAGTTTGAGGTTTTGCGGTTTAGAGTTTCGGCTGTTGGGGTTTTACGGTTTAGGGCTTAGGGCTTTTAGCGTGTAGGGTTTGGGGTTTGGCTGTTTGGTTTCAAGGTTTAGGGGTTGGCGCTTTTAGGGTTTAGCTTGAGGGGTTTGGAGTTCGAGGTTTTGCGGTTTAGAGTTTAGGGCTGTCAGGATTTAGCTTTTAGGGTGTAGGGTTTGTGGTTTTGCGGTTTAAAGTTTAGACTGTTTGGGTTTTACGGAGGGTTTGGGGCTTTGCGGTTTAGAGTTTAGGCTGTTGGGTTTCACGCTTTAGGGTTTGGCGCTTTTAGGGTTTAGCTTATAGGGTTTAGAGTTTGAGGTTTTGCGGTTTAGAGTTTCGGCTGTTGGGGTTTTACGGTCAGCGCTCAGGGCTTTTAGCGCAGGCTGTTTGGGTTTGACGGAGGGTTTCGGGTTTTGCGGTTTAGAGTCTAGGCTGTTGAGTTTCACGGTCTAGGACTTGGCGCTTTTAGGGTTTAGCTTTTAGGGTTTAAAGTTTGAGGTTTTGCGGTCTAGAGTTTCGGCTGCTGGGATTTTACGGTTTAGGGCTTAGCGCTTTTAGGATATAGCTTTTAGGGTGTAGGGCTTGGGGTTTTGCAGTTTAGAGTTTAGGCTGTTTGGGTTTCGCGGAGGGTTTGGGGCTTTGCGGTTTAGAGTTTAGGCTGTTGGGTTTCACGGTTCAGGGTTTGGCGCTTTTAAGGTTTAGCTTTTAGGGTTTAGAGTTTAGAGTTTGAGGTTTTGCGGTTTAGAGTTTCGGCTGTTGAGGTTATACGGTTTAGGGCTTAAGGCGTTTAGGGTTTAGCATTTAGGGTGTAGGGTTTGGGGTTTTGGGGTTCAGAGTTTATTTGGATTCTACGGAGGGTTTGAGGTTTTGCGGTTTAGAGTTAAGGCTGTTGGGCTTCACAGTTCAGGGTTTGGCACGTTTCGGGTTTAGAGTTTGAGGTTTTGCGGTTTAGAGTTTCGGCTGTTGGGGTTTTACGGTTCAGTGCTTAGGGCTTTTAGGATATAGCTTTTAGGGTGTAGGGTTTGTGGTTTTGCGGTTTAGAGTTCAGGCTGTTTGGGTTTTACGGAGGGTTTGGGGCTTTGCGGTTTAGAGTTTAGGCTGTTGGGTTTCACGCTTTAGGGTTTGGCACTGTTAGGGTTTAGCTTTTAGGGTTTAGAGTTTGAGGTTTTGCGGTTTAGAGTTTCGGCTGTTGGGGTTTTACGGTTTAGGGCTCAGGGCTTTCAGGATTTAGCTTTTAGGGTGCAGGGTTTGTGTTTTTGCGGTTTAGAGTTTAGACTGTTTGGGTTTTATGGAGGGTTTGGCGCTTTGCGGTTTAGAGTGTAGGCTGTTGGGTTTCACGGTTTAGATTTTGGTGCATTTAGGGTTTAGCTTTTCGGGTTTAGAGTTTGAGGTTTTGCGGTTTAGAGTTTCGGCTGTTGGGATTTTACGGTTTAGGGCTCAGGGCTTTTAGGATTTAGCTTTAGGGTGTAGGGTTTGGGGTTTTGCGGTCTAGAGTTTAGGCTGTTTGGGGTTTACGGAGCGGAGGGTTTGGGGTTTTGCGGTTTAAAGTTTAGGCTGTTGGGTTTCACGGCTTGGGGTTTGGCGCTTTTAGAGTTTAGCTTTCAGGGTTGAGAGTTTGAGGTTTTGCGGTTTTGCGTTTGGGCTGTTGGTGTTTTACGGCTTAGGATTCGGGCAGCAAAAGTGCAAGAACGTTGTGGCCTGAGTGGGGTGGTGTCGGGGACGTGTGCGGGGAGGGGGGGTGGAGTGATGATTAGAACCACACGCTATTCTTTTCTGAGTTCGAGACGTGCTCGAAGTGGTGCTCGCAGCGCACTCGCACCGGCTTATGCTACACCTGCGCCCGTGTCTTAGTTTGTTTGTTTTTTTTCTTAATTGGTCAATGAAAACAAACAAACAAGCTGAGGGGATGAAGGGGCGTGAGGCGAAGAAGAAGGAAAAGGCTCGCGCCCGTATCGAGGCTGGCACAGGGTTTTCGAGAGAGAGAGAGAGAGAGATAGAGAGAGAGAGAGAGAGAGAGAGAGAGAGAGTAGCCATTTTGGCTCAAGACAGAGCCACGAGTGGTTCAAGACCCGAGCCCCCCACGGAGAGAGGGTCTCAACCCGGGCGAGCCGAGAGAGAGACCTGCCTGTCCCGTCATAGCAGCGCGGGGAGTACTACCTCTTCGCTGATCTTTGCGTCCTCACCTTTGCCGCTCGCCGGGGGGACATCGTAAAGAACGGACCCCATCGGTGGCCTTGCGCTGTACCTTCGGGAGGCCCACACCACCGGCGCCTACGGCATCGGCGGCCTACAGGGGGACTACTCCATCGGGGCGATCCGCCGCCTCTTGACCGCTGGGAGACCCAGAACCTGTACATTGGGCGAGGGACACCAACACGGTCGAGACTGAGCACTATTTGCAGACCGACGAGATCACAATCCTTGCGGGGGACTTTGACAACATGGCCCATGCGCAAGCAAATCCCGACATGGTGGTGGACCACCAAGGTACCTCACCCACCAAGCGCAGAGCACCGGAACCGGGGGACGGGCTTACCCTACATCTCGACGTCATTCGAGAGGCCATACGCGGGGAGCTCAAAGACGCCTTGTCTGATGTGAAGCAGGACATACGCAGTTTCTCCGCCCGCGTGGACAACGTCGAAAGTCAGGTCACCAAGAAAATGCAACAGACCCTCAACCTCCTTGACGACATGACCCAGAAGTACTCGCAACAGGGGGATGTTCTACAACAACTGCAGGAGGCCAACAAGGAGGTGAACCTGCGCCTGGAGCGCTTGGAAAAGAGCGGGGGATCATCCGCGGCGGGGAGCACAATCGCTCCATCAGACAGCTCCCGAAAACCTGCCCTGATCATCGGGGGATGGGATCCTGACGCACTGGCCGCTGACACCAAGGATGCAGTCCTCGACGTGCTCAAAACAGTGGAAGCACCGATCGACACAACACCGCTCTTCGTGCCAGGGGTAAGGCGAGGATACGCCATTCTCCCGATCGACGAACCCATGGGGGAGACCTTCGAACAACGCCGATCCCGTGTACAAGAAGTCATTGCCAAAGTTCGGGGAGCCAACATCCACCTGGGGAACAAGGCTGACGGCACCCCAAAGCGAGTATGGATTGCTATGTCGCAACCACCAGACCGACGACGCCGTGCCAGACTTGCAGCAAAAACAAAGCGCCTCTACTTGACGCTGGGGGGAGAGAAAGGAGCCCTTCAGATGGAGTTCAGCACAGGAACTGCTTGGGTCAACAACGTGAAAGTGAGCTCGGCTACAGCACCACGACCCGGGGGGACCGAGGAAGCCGGTCCAGGATGGATCGACCTCGGCGCCATCGCCAAAGCCACACGAACCTCCAAGGAAGCTACGGCCGCTGCTTGGTCTCCGCTCAAGGCGGAGATCAACTGAACCACCGAGGATGAGACAGCGTTTCACCCCCAGGCCGAGGGGGGACAAAGACCCGGCCAAATTTGGGCGATGACATGGAATGTCGGGGGACTCACGGCAGACAACCTGCTGAAGCTCCTCGACACCTTCGATGACAGCCCGAACCTGAACTGCATTGCAATAGTTCTTCTGCAAGAAATCATCGTCGATGCCGGCCTTTACCACGCAGAGTCAGACACATGGCAACTAGTGTACGGCAAACTAGAAGGGGAATTCCGAGGGGAAGGCATAGCACACAGAGTCGAACACCACACACACCACCACAGCCAGGTCACCTCGGGGAGCGTAGTTACCACCCTGAGACACAAGAGCAACCGCGACATCCTACGAGCATTGGCGGGGCATATCCCCCACCACGCCACCATCGAGCAAACAGAGAACATTCTCTCCGACTGGGAAGAAAGCCTGGGGGACCGCAACCGCTACCTACTAGGCATTGATGCCAACGAAACCTTCACTCCACCACTCACCCATGTTGCAGGCTGCTATGCCACCACAGGCAGAGGGGAAAGCATTCTCCACTGGACAGACACACACAACATCAAGATGCCCCCCCAGGAGCTTCACAAGCCTAGTTACCACCCCTACAACCAACTTATGCAAGCGCGCAGGCTCGACTACATACTGGTCAAAGGAACCACAGCGGGCGCGGGCAAAGTCATACCCTGCCGAGATCGTGCATTCTCCGACCACGACGGGGTGGCAGCACCAGTGGGGGCCCACTTTGGGGGAGGACCAACCCGCACCACCTGGGGCCCACGCAGGCTTCGCCCCCAACACCAGGTCGCTCAACTCCTCTCCATCCCACCACCCAGAGGGGAGGACCCACACCACATGCTTGCCACGCTGGCCAAAGCCATCACAGTGCCGGGGAGTGGACACAACAAGTTCCAGGAGAGCCACCAGCTACGAGAGATGCGGAAAGCCGCCCACCAGTGCGCGCCAGGACCCTCAGCCAGGCAAGCATGGAAGGCCATCGCAAAGCTCCACAAACAAGAGCATCGCATGTGGAGCACCCAGCAGGCCGAAAACGCCTCCAAGCTCGACTGGAGGGCCCTACGCACACTCAAGCAAGCACAGACCCATCGGGGGTGGCAGCTCCACTTGCAAGACGATCCAGAGTGGCAAACCCAGCTCCTCAAACACATGCGCTCCATCTTCGCGAAACCACTGCCTCCAGGGGGGAGTGCGCGCATAACCACCCTGCGGGACCAACTCCGCAGACGGTGCAAGCATACCCCGTGGCAACCCTTCAGCACCCAGGAGCTCAAGCTCGCCACTATGAAGTGGGGGAACAACAAAAGCACAGGCCCGGACGGCATTTCACACGAAGCAGCCAAGGAACTCCTCAGCAACGACCGGTGGGGATCTACCATTACATACATCCTCAACGATATGCTGTACACAGCAAAGATCCCCGAAAACATCGATCGGGGGATCACTGTGCTTTTACCCAAAGTCCCCACCCCGCTCGAATGGAGCGAAACTCGCCCCATTACGTTAAGTTCGACCCTACTCAAACTCACGGCGCAAGCGCTCCTGGCGCGAGGGGGGGACAACATCAGAGGGGGGGCGCAGCTCCAGTGGGCCAGGCGGGGGAGGCAAGGGGTGGAACTAATCGCGACCATTCGTCGCGTGACACAAATGGCGAAAGACTGGGGGGTGCCTACATGGTTGATCAAACTGGACATACGTAAGGCGTTTGATAGTGTCTGGCAGCATAGTATGAGTGAGTTGGTTGCATCCCGAGTTGGGGGAGTTCCCTCCTCCCGCTGCCCCGTACCCGAAGGAGGGGGGGACCAACCATGGGAAGCACTGCTATGGCTCAGCGTCCTCGAGACCCGATCCCTCAACGTTGCGGTGGGGGACGTGATCACCCCTGTGCCCCAAACCAACGGCATACGCCAAGGCAGCCCCGACTCCCCAGACCTTTTCGGGGCTATCGTGGCCCGAGACCTCCAAGCGGCCATCGATGCAACAACCCCCCAGGGACCAGATGCACAGGGAGGCCCCTGCCCACCCAGATGCGGGGGGAGTTTCCTCGACGACACCTACCTATGGTCCCAAGATCGCCGCCACCTTCAGCAGCTGCTCAGAAACCTTGAAGCCGAGCTTGCCGAAGACGGCCTACACATCCACCCCACCAAAACGGCGATCCTATACAGTGAACCAGAGGCGGACGGGGGAACCTTCCAGATCGGCGACACAACAGTCCCCTGCGCTTCTCACAAGACAGTCATTGCCACGCTTGGCTCACCCATCACCTTTGGGGAGCAGACCACTGCCCTGGTCGCCGAGATGACACGCAGGGGGAGGCACGCCTTCGCCAAGCACAAGAACATCCTACTGGCGCGTACCAACATGGGTACCCGCATGGCAGCATACACGACACTAGTGCGCAACGCAGCGCTATACGCAGCAGAAACATGGCCAGTCAACCAACGCCTCCTCAAAGCAGCCAACTCACTGCAAGCACAGCACATGAGACGCATGCTGCACATCGAAAGACGACCAACAGAGCAGTGGGCCGACTGGCATGTCCGGTCCCTCAGAACAGCCAGACTCCACCTTCAAAAAGGGGGATGGACCCGATGGTCCACGTACATTCTCCAGCGGATATGGTCGCTGTGGGGCCACATGGCAAGAGGGGGGGAAGAAGTCACAGCCATGGTCCGGTGGAAGAACATGGAGTTCTGGCGCGCAGAGCAACAAAAACCCCGGCGCTACCGAGTCCTCCACGCAGCCCGCTTCAACCCTGAAGCTGACGTGGAGAGGGCCCTAGAGAGCATCGCGGGCACACGGTGGGGGGAGGTCGCAGCCGACCGCGCACACTGGCAACAACTCACACAAGCATTCGTTGACCGTTTTGACGTACCCTGGGCAACAGGCAAGCAAACAAGCATACAAGACAACCTCACACCCAACAGCCGACGAGAGAGACCAACCCGCCCCAGAGCAATCCAATGAACGACTCATCTTGAGCCCTTGCATCAGCAGCGGAGGGTGTAGCATGTGAAGGGGAAACCTGAGAGCCTACACCAACCACGCAGCAGCCAGAGAGGAGAGAACAGTCGCATGTCCAGTCACTCACATGTTCAGTTGCACTTTGTTTGCTTGCCAGTGCTGCAGCTGGCGTCAGCCTTGAAGGAACCCGCAGCAGCTTGAGCGCTCAATGCCCCGCAGGACCTCCTAAGGCAGCCGTCATGGTCACCAAGGGAGCCGCCCTGCTTTGTGTGGCAGCAGGATGCCTCCTGTTGCAGAGCCCGATGTTGGGCCGCGCGCAGAGCTACCACAGCTCAGAGGAACCCTCGGGGAGCACTCCACGAGGAACGAGAATGGGAGACCCCAGAGGGGGGAGAGACACAAGGGGCGCCGGGCCTCTTCCGCCGCGAGCACCAGACCAGCTCGCAACCGCAGGGGGAACACTGCCAACGGCAGCTACAACCCAAGCAAGCCGGACCGGGGGAGCAGCCGGACAGCTCCCGCCAACACAGCCACAACAACCACCAAGCCAAAGCAGTGCAGCGGGCTCGATCACTGGCACACACCACATGCCTTCAACCCAGGCCGGGGGAACTCACCAGACCGCGCCCCCACATGGAAGCAACACGCCGCAGCAGCAGCAACCCTGGTACGCCGCGGCCTCTCAACAACCAATGCCACAGCAGCCACCGCCGCAAAACACGCCACAACAACCGCAAGCCTACCACTGGCAACAGCCCACACACCCACCACCACAGTACGATCCGAACACGGATCCATGGCCACAACCTTACCAGCAAATTCCCCCTCACACCCAACATTCCACCGAGGGGGCACCCTCACAACAGCAACCACAAACACAATCACAACCACCACCACAAGCCCAACAGGGGCAACGGACCGGAGTGCTCCTACTGACAAGCCAACCTCCGGACAACCCTGCACGGCAGGTCGCACAAGGCCTTGCAGAGATGTACAAACAACAACAGCAAGCACAGCATCAGCCACCGCCACAAGAACCACCCTACACGGCAGCTCGGCTAGCCCAAGAACACGGGTTCGCATACTACGATGCCTGGGGGAACCTACGCGACTCAGATGGACAAATCATCGAACCGCCAAGCACACCACAACACCAGCAACCACAAACCACTGGACCGACAGCCACGGGAGCCCCCATCCGCCCCCATGGTCCCCACGGCATAGCCTACGCCAGCGAATACAACCCCGACACGGACCCGTGGGCCAACTACCACCCGACAGCAACAGCCAACCCCCAACAAGGGGGGGACCCACACCACACCACACCACCGGCAACGGACCAACCGACGGCCCCACCTACACATGCTGACCCAGACTCTCACCCACAACAGCCACAGCCGGAAGCCACAGCAGCCGACACCACAGACCCGACAGGCGACACACAGCCTCCCCCTTCGACAGCCACCGCAGCGGGGGAAGCTACACCGCGCCTGGCCGTCCGATCTCCCTTCGAGACGGTGACAGGAACACGCCTCCCACCGGGCGGCACCAAAGCCATCCCTGGGATGACCATGCGTGAACACTACACGTGGATCACGACTGGGAACATCCCCACAAGCTACATTGAGAGAGAACTCCTACCCACAGCCGACGAGAACAGCGGGGGAGATGGAGGCAGCACGCAGGGGGACGGCACCCAGCCAGCAGCGACACAACAATCACCACGACGCCGCAGCGCTCAGCCACGAAGCCACCGCCAACATGAAGGAGGGGGAGCCACCCGCACGAGAAACAAAGCGGAGAAATACCGCATCAAGCGCTGGCTGAAAGCCAACGACCTGCACCACACCAGGTGGGGACAACATCTCCACAGCCAGGACCAAGCACACCACAACAACACACACGCAACCCAAGCCGACGCAGCCCCAGCAGAGAGCAGCCCACCACCCACATGGCAACCGCCCCAGCTCAGCGCAAACGAGCGGGCCCACTACTTT